TGACATCACAAATGTGATTTACATGCTTTTGGTCTATTTTTTTCATGCTAGTATGCCCTGTACCTTGAGAAGACTCCACCCAATTATAACACAATAAATCTGAGTTAAATGGGCAAAAAAAGGGTAACTTTTTCTAGTAATAATAGCAACAGTAGCCCACCTGGAGGGCGCGTGGCATGGGGCTTCTACACCTCGATATCTCACATCCTTTTTCTGGCCCCTCCAAGTCATTGTTCACATTTGTCCTTCTAAAAGACCTATTACTCAAGGTCACGAAGTAGCCCATGTGAACAAAGAAAGTAAGGGTGGTCACCTCTTCCAAATTTTCCTTCATTATCTCCCACATACATATATACTCATAAGCGCTCTGTGATAGTTTCTCCTTGGTTACAGCTTATCATATATTATCATTTTGATTTTAAAATTTGATATGCTAAACTACATAGCACTATTGGTTAGGTGGAAAATTATATTGAATGCTCTTACAATACCTATTTTGAAAATGTTCCACTGGGCACTTTATCTGAGCTTTAGTTAAATGTTCTATAATTCTCAAGTACATTGGCTGGGGCCTCAGTAAACTCTCTGCCTTACAAGCTGCAACAAGCTGTGCTGGGTCTTCAGCAGTGTATGCTGCTCACATCCTGTACCCAAGAAATGCTGCCACTCCCACCGTCCTGGAACACAGTCATGATGCAGCTCAGCTATCTGTGCAGATGACTGGTATGTTCTCCCCTGGACGTTCATGTTCATAATGTCGATTCAGTGCCGCTTACATAGCTTATGATGAGTCTGACAGCCAGGGCTCCTGAACCCCTCAGACCTGCTGAGGATTTCCCCATCTGCCACGACTCCCGCCTGAATGTAGTGGCTAAACGAGCCGGCAGCTCCTGGGCCTGAATTCCATCTGCAGCCAGAGGCCCCCAGGATATGCACATCCCAAAAGGCTGAGGGAGGAGCACTGAGATCAAAGGAGAGCATCCCAGAAACCTCCTGGAGATGAAGTCTGTCAATTGGAACTCCATGGTAATCTCAGACAGCTCCTGAAATCCCAGACGCATGCTCATGGCCCTTTTCTCCAGAGCAGAGGTTCTTAAATTGAGGTCCACAGACCCCTAGGGAGTCTATGGAAGCACTTCAGAGGCTTCATAAACGCCTTGTAAATGTATATAAAACGTGTGTGTATATATATCATTCTGGGGCAGGCTTCATGACTTTCATCGTATTTTTTTTAATCTAGTCTATGGAAGAAGCTTAAGAATTCTATGGACGTCTCTGAGTTGGGGTTACTGGAACAGAAAGAGGCAGTTAGGCCAATTCTGACACAGACGAACCCTGAATCTCTGATATCCAGGGATATACAGTATATGACATTATTGCCAGATGCTGGGCTCCAGGAAATGTTCCTGAACCTACATACTCTTAATGACCATCCCAAGTATGATCTGGTCCTGGAGTGGACCATTTGTACCTGGATAGCTCAGAGAAAGACTCAAAAGAGAAAAAGTACACATGCTCTGAGCCTAAGGCAGCGGCTCCCAGGCCAAGTTTCAGGGAGTGACCTCGGGGCAGGAAGAGGGGATGGGAGCCATTAAAGAGGGGCAGTCGTTACCTCCAAGCCTGGCCCCTAAGAGCCTAGGGCCAGAGGGGCTCCCCCAACCCCTGTCTGCAGGAGGGCTGGTCCCTATAGACAGTCACTCTCCTTCATCTAATACCCAAGGTCTCCCTGGATCCTGAAATAACATTGACCCTGCAGAGAAAAGGAAGGCCCACAACTGGCCCAGAAAGCCAACCAGAAAAGAGTGTATGTACCCTGGCAGGACACAGCCTAATCTGGAAGATTCAGAAATGCTCTAAAGCCAAGTGTTCATTTATATTGTGGTTCCCAAACTTCAGTATAAATAAAAACCATCCTGAATGTTTTATAATACAGATCCCTAGGCCCAAGAAACTGTGATTCAGTAGTTCTAGGGTAGAGCCCAGGTGTTTAGACTTTTTTAAAGGAAACTAGTAACTCTGATCTCAGGAGACCATGGAGTATATCTATGGAAACAGAGCTTCTAGGGGCTCTACGGCATAGGATGTGGAGAGGGGGATAGATGAAGTGAGCCCTCCTTCCCAACCCCCACTGAAATAAAAGCAGAGGCTTCCAGTTACCATGTATTTAGTCCTTCTCTGTGCCAGATACTATGCCAAATCTTTTACATGAACTATTTTATTTAATCCCTTATAACCCTGAAGTTCAGATAAAATAAGTGACTTGCCCAAGATCCCTCAGCTGAGTACCAGAGCCAGGACTGGGACCCAGATCTGAATGCAGGGTCTGTTCGTAACCAATATGTCCATGATGTTGAAGAGGGTTTCGGTGCCTAGTACCTGATGACAGCAAAAGAGAAGCTCTGAGGCCGGCCGAGTGGCGCGTTGGTTAAGAGTTGGCTTGGGACGCCAGCTCTGAGCAGCAGGGCCCTGGTTCAGATCCCACATGAGGGCCAGTGACATTGCCCTCTACAGCTAAGATGGTGAACAACATCTCGACCTGGAGCTGGGCTGCCTTAGTCACTGGCGACGGCGTAGGTTGCAGCCCCTGCTGCAGTGGGATGCCATAAGCTACCATGTGTAGCTGGCAGCCAACATGAGTGGCCGGCAGCCGGTGTGAGCTGCCAAGAGCTGCCATGAGCGACCGTCCAGAGGCCGGCGACCGATCTGCCTCACCCGGGAAGAGCACAATGATAATACCAACATGGGCCAGTGAAGCAATGTTCTCCACAACTAGAACAACAAAAGGACAGCAACTTGTCTGTTCCCCTTCCCCCGATTCCCCAGCGCTGTTCCCCTCCCTCAATTCCCCAATAAAATCTTTAAAGAAAAAAAAAAAAAAAGAGAAGCTCTAAAGCCACATCTGCTCTGCAGTTGGGTGTGGGGAGAGCCCCACAGGCCACAGGGTAAGTAGGTAACCACTGCCAGAGAGGTCGCAGGCGATCAGGCTGGGAGGAACGATGGTAGCTGGGCTAATGAGGTAAGGACTACATTCCTGGAGTGCAAAAGGGACACAGGACAGAGATGAAAAGTGTTGCAGTGACAGATGGACAAAAGGGGTTTTAAAGGAACTGACCATCCTCAGAGAAATCAATGGAACACCATGGAAAGCTTTTGGGAAGCACAGGCCCAGGGCCCCTGATGGTCTGTGGCCCCTGCTGGTTAGTACTACATTTATACTCTTCAACTAATTGGAAAAATTAGTTTGAAGCACCAGAACCAAGGCCAACTTTGGAGCCCAAGATCCTCTATAGATTATTAAATCCTCATCCTCTAAAGGGACATAACAATAGGACCTATCCCAGAGTTACAGTGAAAAGTAAATGAGATCATTTGAATAAAGTGCTTAGCATAATGTCAGACACATTACAGATGCTATAATCATTCATTACTACTAATTAGGACCTATACCCACGCTCACCAAGAAACCACAGCAGCATCCAGTTCATTTGTGAAAGACAGTGAAGTCAAAGGTGGTCTCTTTGGGTTGAGGTTTTCTCTCTCCAGAGAGAAGTTTTTGTTAAGGGTGCTCCTTTTTATTTTTATTTTTTTAATGATCTCAAGAGAAAAAAAGAGTCACCTCCCAAATAGATCAACAATTTGATGAAAAACATTTTAGATTTCCCTTTACCTTCAGTTCTGACATTATCCAAACACCAACTTGATCCAACTGTTCCATCAAACTTGTTCTGAGGGAAACATGAAGCTACGGGGTTCTGTACTTTTTCATTCAACAACGACCTTTTCGTGTATCAGAACTGACTGTGCCTGTTGGATGAACTCCTGAAAGTTTTCAACTACCTAAGAGAAATACCCCAAACAAATGAACTTTATTTTCAGACAACAGATCCAAATAGGCCAGCAAGACTTGACAGCTGAACCATGAACATATGGCCTCACCTCCAGGAACCCCTGATATTACAAAGAAAGCCCCATTCTTCCAACCCCTCACCTAGCCTGTTTGTTCAGAGTGAAGGAGAACTGATGAGACAGACTTCCTTGTTGCCTTACAGCTACGTCCACGACCGCTCCCCCCCAGCACCCCCCGCCCCCCAGCACTAACCCCTGACCTAACGAGGTCCTGAGGAAGTGTCTTGGAAAGCTGAGACCCAGTGGAATGATATCGGTAAAGCTTGGAAAGCTGAGACCCAGTGGAATGATATCGGTAAAGCTTGGAAAGCTGAGACCCAGTGGAATGATATCGGTAAAGCTTCCTCTAGGGAGTGTCTCGGTGTCGACACCTGGTGTGGAATGATATCGGTAATCTCCCTTTATTTGTATAGGACACCGCACAATGGCGCTGTCCTGGGGGCTGTGCAAAGGCACAGTACATGTTGGAATACAATGGGAGCTGGTTAATGGAAAACAGCCTTAAGGCACATGATACACGGTCTTTGAGTAGTTTAGTTTCACTTCCTTTGAAATTTTCTCAATAAAAGCCACAGACGACCTGATTAGGGGCTCAGCCCAGTCCTCTAGGCTGATGCCCCTTGGTCTCGTTCTTATCTGACTTTTGTCTCTTGTGCTCTTTTCAATCTGCTTCGCCCCTCTCGTGTCCCATTTGCCCTTGCCACGCAGGACGTGACACTTCCTGAGAAGGGAGCATTTGGGTGGTTTTAGATTAGAAAGGAATGAAAAGGACAAGAGAAATTAAGTCTCTCCATAAAAGAGAGAAAGGGAAAGAATATTACAGAACAGATTAAGGTCACAGAACAAGACCAGAAATATATAGCCCGCCCTCTGCTTCCATATCCTGCACTGGGTCAGTCTGAACATGGCTTTGCTCCCATTGGTCAGACTTGACGTGGGTCCTGAAGATGGTGGACCAGGCCTGTCCCAGTAATCATTATCAGAAAATACATCCATGACAAACCCAAATTCCTAATTCCTGAACCATCTCAAGTCACCCCATATTATAGTAGCCACTCAGGAATAGAAGTTTTGTTTAAAAATACAAACAAACAAACAAATCTGCATGTTTTAATTCAAGAAATAAGTGAAAGTTCGCAAGCAATCCAGGACAGGTTCCAGGAGTCTGCTCTAAACAATCAGTCGTACTTGCTGCAGAAGTTCAGGCTCCACAGAATCACTTTGGCCAGTGTTTCCTGAGATGCTCTTTCAGCTGAGGAACGGAAGGCAGTATCTGCTGGCACTCGTGACAGCGGAGAGGCAGCTTCAAGAGCTCAGGCATCCCGTCTCGGACAGTTACTCTGCCAGCCTCTTGCACCATCTCAATCACAGCTGCAGGCAAGGAAAAAAGTTCAGAACCCTGCTACTCTGGAAACCCAATATAAGATACAAAAAAAAAAGGAAATATCTGACTCTAAATAAAAATATGCCAGGTATCCTAAAACTAGTAAATTTGACTTATTGTTGGGAAAATGAGCTTGATCAGATTCTAAATCTCAGCAACCTATTTTTGAGATGATTACGTTCCTCCGAAATATACTCTAAGCAATGCATGTTACTGTGTCAAAGGCCCTGGGTCAACGGTAGCTGTCATTGTTAACATCCCAGCATAATGAAGTTCCACAGAATATACACTGGGGAATGCTTCCTTCTACACACACAGCCTTCCCCTGTTAACTACTCTTGGTACGAGGCAGCCCCCAAGCTTCTACCCAGTTGATGGCAGACGAGACAAAGAACTACTCAGAGCTTTCACATCTATGAACTCCAATTATTCTCAGGACAATTTTTAAGTCCCCTGTTGTTATAACAAAACATCTTTTTGACCTTGACATAACAGCTTTCTAGGTTCCCCAAAAAGGCTGCTCACAGCAAAGTGACAATCCTACTACAATCCAAATAATCGAATTTCTTTTAATGAGGCTCTCTTTATAGGGAACACAAAGTTATACATGGGCTTTTGAGATCAGATTATTATTAAGGGAAACAACTGAATCACATATAAAAACAGCTGAGAAAATGAAACAAATGTGAAAACCAAAGCTTTACCTTGTGATTCTAGGAAGTATTCTGTATTGAAAGAATTCCAATGTTTTTTGTTTTTCAGGCAAGGAGAATCAAAGTCTTGGCTGATCACATGAAGGTGTACGTGGCTAGTTGAGAGGGGGGAAAAAACTGATGAGTAAATCCATTAAAAACTAAGGCTTAATCAAAATGACAAACAGTATAAGTATGCGTAAAATATTGACAGTGTTTCCATTTAATTCAGTTAATTCATTAATTCACTTAAGAATATTTACTGCTCATTAAGTACCTGGTAGGGCCAAGCACTATTCATTCTAGCACTGGGAACTGAGCAGTGAACAAAATGGAAAAGGCCTCCGCCCTTGTAGAAATTATATTCTAATGAGGGGAGACAAAGAAAATATAACAAATAAACAAGGGAAATTCAAATCATTAACATTGCTAAGAAAAAAATATGGAAATGTGATGAGAGTGCCCAGCGGGTAGAAGTTGCTCTTTAACTAGAGGGTTTTCAGGGAAGGCCAACTGCAAAGGCCCTGAGATGAGAAAGCTTAGCACAATACAACCAAGGAACAGAAAGACGGTAGGTAATATGGCCAGAATGGTTGGAGCCAAAGAGCAGTGACTTGGAATGAGCGAGATCATAAAGGGTCTTATAGGTTGGCAAGGGGTTTGCATTATATTCAAATTACACTGGGGAGCCACTGAAGGATTTTAGGTAGGGGAGTGCTATTATCTGAATAATACTTTTAAAAGAGGACTCTAGGGCCGCTGTCTAGGTCGCTAGGCGCTGCGACCACGCGAAACCCGCAAGGGAGGCGAAGCCGGTTCAAACCAGCGGCGCGAGCCACCTGCTTGACCCCCATCCCGGGCCATTTCCCCGGCAATTTGCCCGTTTCCATAGGAGCGGACCCCGTCCCTCCATCCCCTAGTTCCTCCTCAATTCCTCATCTCTTCTGGCAGCTCCTCATCCACCCAGTCTCTTTCTTCTCATATTAACACATCTTCTCCCAATGACCCTACTTGTGCCCCTTCTGTTCCCAGCATCCTCGCCCAGATCCCCAGGTTGCTGCTCACCCGGGTCCTACTCGTGAGTATCGGGCCCGAGCGGCGCTTTTTCTGTCCTCGTTTATTCCAGCTCTTTTATTCTAAGATGAAAACACTGCCACTCGCTGATTGGCTGAGCGAGGCTGGAAACAGGCATTGGCCAATCAGCAGGCACCAGCCCGCCTGGCGGCTAGCGGAAGCCGGTTCCGGCCGGACTTGGAGACAAACAAGACAGCTAGCTGACAGAGGCAGCGGTGGGCGGAGCCTACGTCCAGCCACCTTAATCTGGAGTCTTGGCCGCACCGGAAACCCCGGAGGCATTTGCCCTATCGACTCTCCAGAGCCCCACCCCGAAGCCTTCGCCCGGTCTCCGGCTCCGCAAGTCGGTGCCCCCAGACTTCCCCAGCTGCACGCCCGTTCCCCTCGCGCACCCAGCTCGGCTCCCGCACTCCGCTTTCCTCCGCCGGGCTGCATAGTCCCCACCTTCCTCTCTGCACTGGACACCACGCCCCGATGCTCTAAGCTCCGTGTGGGTCGTTCCACTCCCGCCGCCTCCACTGCCTCCTCCCCAGACAACGCTGCCATTCCGTCTGTCTCGGGCTTCTGGTTCTGATTTCTCGCTCTCCTGCCCACAGTGTCCCACATCCAGGTGCTGTCTGCCCATTCCGGATCTCTGGACCCCTGTGCAGGCGTGGTGTGCCTCTCCCCTGCTCCCTCGATTGACCGACCTCTTTCCTGAGTCCCTGGAAGGTGTCTCTCAGGGATCCCTAGGTTGTAGTTTGGGGCTTGTCTGTCCCCTAGGACGGTGTCACCTCTTGCCCCATTCAGACTTTTACCCCCTCCCTTTAGACCTCTCGGGAACCCCCACCCAAACCGGTCATCTTGCTTTCTGCCCAAGTTGACCACTCCATACCCACTGTCCTGCCCCACCTCCACCCTATTCCCAGACATCTCCCTCAGGTAAGGGCTCTCTTTCAGGGTGGCACGGTGGGCAGCACCTAGCTGCAAGAACAAGTCAGGCCTCCGGGAGGATGCATGGAGTCGGGAGGGCTCCGGCTCCCAGTCTGATAATTGAGCTGGACCTGCCCGGAGGACTGCGAGAGCAGGGGGATGGGGCCCGGCTCTGAAGGTTTTGCTGCCCGGCTTCGTCTCCCGGATCAGAGGCACTAGCCCGACCTCGGAGGACCCTGAGTGTCCCCCACATTCAGCTCTGTCACCCTGGCACACTCTTGGAGCTAGCTTATCATCCCAGGGCTATGGGAGCCCCAGCAACCTCCTGTTCCATGTCCCCTGGTCCGAGAGCGCCCCCTGCCGCCCTGAACCGGTCACTGGCAACCTCGCTCAGACAACAACAACAAAAAAAGAGGACTCTAGCTGCCATGTGGAGAAAGGACTTGCGTAAGGCTGGATACAGAGACCAGCTGGGAGGCTGCCGCAGCAGTACAGGCCACAAATAATCACGGCTTAGACTAGAGCTATAGCAGCTGAGATGACAAGAAGCAATCCAATTTTGAATATATTTTGAAATAGAACCAACACAACTTACTAATGGATTGGATATGGGCTTGGGGAGGCACCACTTACTGAGATGGATAAGCTCAGGGGAAAAGCAGGTTTGGGGAAGAAAATCAAGAGCTCTCTTTTAGACTTGTTAAACCAAGTAGGATGCCTTTGTGTATAGCTTTGACTCTTAGAATCAGTAATACTTCATATTCCCCCAATAAACATTCAAAACCAACCAGTACATGTGAGAATCCAAAGTGGAATATAAGCCATTACAAAACTATTACATGATAAAAAAAAAACATACTGAAGAGGGTCAGGAAGAAAATAACTAACCTAATTAACTTTGGAAAACAGTATTTTCTCTGGATACTATAAGGATAAAAAGAACTGTATAGGGGCCAGCCGAGTGGCACGTTGGTTAAGAGCTGGCTTGGGAAGCCAGAGGGCCCCAGTTCGGATCCCACATATGAGGGCCAGTGACACTGCCCTCTACAGCTAGGATGCTGAACAACAGCTCAACCTGGAGCTGGGCTGCCATGAGTCGCCGGCGACGGCGTGGGCTGCAGTCCCTGTGGCAGTGGTTCCAATGGGCTACCGTGTGTAGCCAGCAGCCAGCGTGAGTGGCCAGCAGCCACCGTGAGCGGCAGTCCAGAAGCTGGCGACTGATCTGCCTTGCCCCGGAAAAGTGCAATGATGGTGCCAACTTGGGCCAGTGAAGCAACCTTCCCAACTAGACTGAAGAACAAAACGACAGCAACTTGTCTGTTCCCCTTCCCCCAATTCCCCAGCACTGTTCCCATCCCCCCAATTCCCCAATAAAAAATCTTAAAAAAAAAAAAAGAACTGTATACACTGTGCTCTAATGAGTAAAAGTCTTTCTCACAAGGGTGAGTCAGCAATTCTGTAACCCTATTTCAAGGGTTACACAGTTAACCCTTGAACAGTGAGGGGTTTAGGGATGCTGATCCCCGACATAGTAAAAAATCATAACTTTTGACTCCCCAAAAACTTAACTACTAATAGCCTACCGCTGACCAGAATCCTTCCTAATACAATACACAATCAAATAACACATATCTTGTATGTTATATGTATTATATACTGTATTCTTACAATAAAGGAAGCTAGAAAAAAGAAAATGTTAAGAAAATCATAAGGAAAATACATTTACAGTATTGTACATATTTATTGAAAAACATCCACTATAAGTGCACCTGCACAGTTCAAACCCATGTTGTTCAAGGGTCAACCGTGTTAGGATTGAACAAATAAGTAAATTTATTGCAGCTAATGAGAGCCAGATTTCTCACTGTTGGAGAAAAAAGTTACAACAAAGGGGGAGACAAGAATGAATATTGTGGAGCTGGACTGAAATCAGAGGAATCAGTATGAACTCAAGATTTTCTATATACACATATAGGTAAATAAATAGAGAGGTGTGTGTTGGCTGTATGGGTTCAGATTCATGCATTTATTTCATAGCTCTATCTGCTGAGAGGACTAAGGAGCAAAGAGACCCTAGAATCAACATTACAGAAACCTAGTAACCAAGTCTTGGTTTATAAATATCATTCTCCAATAAAAGGAACTAGGGCTCTTTGGAGAAGTGGTTCATTCCAGGGCTAGAATAGGAAAAATATAAGATGAGCCTAGAACACCTTGTTCCAGAAAACAAAGAAGTGCTCAAAAAATGCTGGGGGTATGTCAAAGTGATACAGGAGCCAACCTAAAGGAGCTTCCAGTGACCAAAGCTGGAACACTTTGAGCAACAAAATAAATGATGATGATTAAATTAAAACCTATACGGGGTGGCCAGTTGGCTCAGGTAGTTGGAGCACAGGCTCATTGCACCAGGGTTGCCGGTTTGATTCCCACATGGGCCAGGGAGCTGCACCCTCCACGGCTAGATTGAGGACAACTACTTGACTTGGAGCTGATGGGTCCTGGAAAAACATACTGTTCCCCAATAAAATTTCTTTAAAAAAACAACAACACCTATACAATAAAATAAATATCCGTGAGTCCATACTGAAAAATAATTGAATAAATACATAATGGAGAGAAGGGACAGCTCTTCCATAAAGAAGAATTCTAATTAATAAATTAGAAGGGATAAGGGAAACATAAAATCGCCATTACGCAAACACCACAGTAGTAACTGTTGCAAGCAAGATCCACCAACAGAGATACTAAAATCACTAGGCAGAAGTTTGAGGAGAAATAGGATACTAGCACAGACTCAAAATAGTCAAGATATTCATCAATTACAAAGAAAAAAATAGTAACTCTGAGTTGAGAAATCTGGCAGATACCACCTTAACAAAGTGATCAAGTTTAATTAACAATTGTGAGTAATAAACCATCTGACATCATGCACTCCTGATATGACGCACAGAGAAAGACTCATCACATCTGCAGCATTTTGGCAAAAAAAAAAAAAAAAAAGAAAGAAAGAAAAAAAGTATAACCTCAATCTAATCATGAAAAAACATCAGACAAACCCAAACTGAGAGACATCCTATAAAAAAACTAGCCAGAACTCATCAACAGTGTCAAGGTCATGAAAACTAGGAAA